GGCTTATTCATTTGCGAGGTTATTTAACAACTGTAGTTAATTAATGCGGTGCGAAGCACAGCATTTATGTAGTCATGCGCGAGTTTTTTTCTTTTTTACTTTCTCGAATACACATCAAAAGTAGTCATTAATGCGGTGCCAAGTACAACATTTATGTAGTCCGTCGCAAGTTTTTTTCTTTTTATTCTTTCTTTTTAAGGTGCGAAGCACTTTATTGTACCGCGTCGCGAGTTTTCTTTATATCTTTATTTCTAGCTAGACATACGCATCAAATTTGTGATTTTGTGTCGCAGTGGTCTTGAGAACCAAAAGTCAGAAAATCTTCGTTCAAGCGCGAGACGAAACTGCCGAGATCGAGCCTACATCTCCTTTTTTCCAATTTTCCTTACGATGTCCCGTTCGCTTATAAATAGCGTCCAAAAAAGACAAATTTTTGAGGACTTTAGCTTTTTCAAGTTTCAAGATAATTAAAACGTACAAAGTTAGGTGCCACTCACTTTGCTCGTGTGTGAAACAGCTGTAAGTGTAGCGGATGACAGATAATGAATCATATCGATAATTAAATGATTAATCGATAATGTTCTTGAGAAGAATGTTGACAGATTTTAATAGAGTTCTCGCAGTGATGAACTCCACAATGGCTACTTTTCATCGTGTTGCAAATTTCGATCAGCTGATTGATGGAAATACAACTTTTCCAGTTATAACGATTGATAGAAACCGATGCTTTACGTGGAACACAAACATTTTCAAGAGAAACATCACCGGAGTTTCACTCTACAATTGATTTTTCGCTTTTTCCAGAAATTCGATTATTTCACAAAGTCGATATTCGTGCTTTGCACCTTATGTCACATTCTCGACAAAGTCGAGATGCCATCTAGTTTACTTGATTGACGTACGCATGATGTCTCATCATTTTTTGACGCGATGATCTCGAGAACGGAAAGTCAGAAAGATTTCGATGAAACGTGAAGTGAAAGAACCGAGATCGAACCTGTGAAATCTTTCATCAACTCATCGAAAAGACCCTTAGTCCTCTTAAAATTCGGGTTCCAAAAAGACGATTTTGAACACCTTTAGCTTTGAGATAATTAAAACGAAACTAGATGGTATTCGAGCTTCGCTTCGAATACGAAATGCGGTGCGAAGCACACGCATCGAGAATTCGAGAAACGAATTTCGAATCGAAATCGAATAAACCGTCTCAATATTGTAGGAATTGCTTCTCGCATTCTACGTCAAGGTTCAAAGCTAGTTGAAGTTTTTCTGAATTAGGGATAAGCGATTAAAAAGAAATTTGTATCGAACAGCTGATCTAACCTAGATATGAGATTAAAGGTATCCATTATGAAATTGATCGCTAGAGAAACTCTACTAAAACGTATCGACAGACTTATAGAAACTTTTTTTTATTGAAGAATTAATTATCTCAATGATTCATTATCTATAATCAGCTGTATTGTCAGCTGTCTTGCATTTCAACGTAACGAATGGCGCCTAACTTTTCTTTATGTTTTTGTTTTAATTATCTATTAGATAAATCTTTTCAAAATCGTGTTTTTGGAAGGATTTTTTTGTCCGAACCGAATATCCGATAGAAGATTGGAAAAAATATTTGAGCAGTTCAATCTCGATACTTTACCCTTGCGTTTGAACGAGTAATTTGTGATTTTCGGTTCTCGAGATCATGGCGACACAAAACGACGATTTGATGTGCGTACGTCGAGAAAGTAAAAGAAAAAAAAAGTAAACTCGCGGCGGACTACATAAATGCTGTGCTTCGCACCGCATTAAAAAAAAAACTCGCGCACGACTACATAAATGCTGTGCTTCGCACCGCATTAATAAAGTAAACTCGGGAAGGACTACATAAATGCTGTGCTTCGCACCGCATTAAAAAGAGTTTTCCTACATTCCTCTTTTAGACTTGCATAGATTGTTACTGAGTTTTTTTGGTACCTACTGATTTTATAAATTTGTTATTATTGTTAAAGGCACTTTTCCCTGTTGCTTCGGTTTCTCAAGAAAATTTTAATAAAATTTATAGACTTGTCAAAATAAATCAGGGGCGGCGCGAGCAGGGATGGGGTACCCCCTCCTGTTTTACCAAGATTGGCGACAATTTTCTCAGATTTGGGAGAGAATGACCTAATTCTAAGCATCTTTTACTTTCTTCCATTTTCGAAAAACACCCTCCCTCCCCTGCTTTGACCTCTTCGCGCCGTCCATGAAATAAATAAAAGAACTCGAACAGTAGAATATAAAAGTTGTATTAGAACCGATAGTGCTGAAAAAAGTGCCTCGTCTTATTGCCTATGTTTTTCCAATCTACAAAGTGTATCATAAATAACTTGACGATAAAAAATTTCGATATAATTATTGCTCTAACAGTAGAGAACAATCAGTTCGTAATAACTTACAAAGAATGCTCAAAATTGCCTGTCTACGTTTACAAAGAAAATCTGTCATCTTTAATGTCAAAACATGAGTCACTCTGAAAGTCCTATAAAATCCGAAAGTTGTAAACTTTTTCACGGTTATTATTTTTCTTTTATGGCTATATCGAATATTGGAAAAACTAATTAGCAAATTCACGCACCATGAAAATATCTATCTTTCTACTATGTAAAGGAAATAATTTGCATGAAATTATATTGTACACGAAAATTCTTTTTTTTTCGGAAAATTTTCCTTGCAGCAGTCTCTCTCAATCAGAAAATTCTATGATTCAGTTCATTAATTTGTCTGATTGTGGTCTTTATTAGAACAAAGTTTCAAATCAACAAGAAAGTTGGAAAATATGATTGTATGAGAAAGTTTAGTTTTACATAGAAACATTCACCAATAATTCAAAATCTTCGTCAAAATATAATAAGATCATGAATTCTTGAAAAGTTGCTACAGATCAATAGTCTTCTATTAGTAGGCGAAATATGATTTCGAAAGGAAATTTATTAACACATGTACTAAGTACTGTTTTAGTGTCGGATTAGGCTAAGTTCCGTTTATTCTGCTTTATCCTGATAAAATGGCGAATATAAAGAAGGATCACAAAATTTGATAGCTTTGTTTACTACATTGTGCCTTGTATGATACACCAAAAGGAAAGAAGTAGTATTTTTGGAGAGACTATCAAAATCTACTCAATCAGAACAGTGCTCAACCATATAAAAACTTAATATAATAATCATCATTAATTTCGATTAAAAAGTAGTAAAATCAGAACTGATAATTGGTATATTTTAATTGGATACCAGTGATTATTAATATAATTGATTACACATTGTTATTTTCAAGTAATCGATTACTTATTGTTTATCTTATAAATTGTTTTTCTATGAGGAGTACTTGTAAAAATAAATTTTATTCACTCGTTCGTACTATGTCAGAGAAAACTCACTGCGTTTGTTCGAAACGCTATTCTTTCCTATGGAAGTTTCAAAAACTATTTTTTCTTTCGTCGTTCTCTAATTACGAAGATTTCTTTTTTGTTTGTAAAATATTCGATAAACGGCACTTGAACATATTGTTGAAGACAAAGCTTTTATATTTTCAAAGCCAATATAGACTAGTTTTTAAGCAAACTTGTTTCATTTAAATATGAAATTCTTTGAAAAAACGTCTTAATTAATTTTATGGAAAAATGATCTTTACTGTTTTCATGACTTTTTAACTTAGAATAATTGTATATTTCGTATTTCAATTTCTTTAAAGATTACATATTTTTGTTTTTAGATTAATCCAAAAACGGATTATCTGTTTCGAAATGTGGCAGAGCTTAAACTGATGATTTATCAGAAATGGCCTATCGGCTCAATTGAACATCTTCCAACAATTCTTAATTTATCGAATCTTCAAACAGTACACTTGGATTTTTATGATGAGTGTATGTTCGATAGGAGTCTGAATATCGAAATAGATACTCTATTCAAACAAGCATGGAACCTTCGCTCAATTAAAATAAGTTGTAGAGATTCCGAGAGAATGAAATTGATAACGCTCAATGCTATTTGTTTGAAATTACCTCATCATATAAAATATCTTGATACTGAAATCACGTATGTGGAAGACGCCATGATGATATTGGAGCTAGCCAAACATTTAAGCAATGTCACATTTCGACCCCGTTGTGATGTAGGGAATTTCGTGGCTAAGATTATTCGATGGCTCTCGTACATGGAAAGAGATTTTTTATATAAGATAGAATGGAACAGAACGTGGAGCCGTGAACACGATGCACTACACTTGTGGGTTGGCAAAAGCATGAATAAGCAATCAAACTTATCTATTAGTCACAAACGTGTCAAGCGGACTCATCACTATTGCTAATCATGATTTATTGGCTTTATTCGTTTAGACAGACATGATTTCAAATATACTCATTGACATACTAATCAACTTACTGTACGATTGGTCTTCAAATAAAAATAAAAATATTTATAAATGCAGTAACTTTCCTCTAATAAAAATGTGCGCGTAAATCTTGCCTTCATGCATACTCATACTCCACACTTTTTTTTTCATGTTATGTTAATCTAGATAACATAGTTTATTATCTATGATATTTCTGTTTAAATAAATAGAAATAATTTACAAATACTTGATCAATTTGATTTAATTTTTAATTGAAAATTTCTACTAAAGAATTTGATCATAATTCAAAAGGGTGTGGATGCTTCATGACCCATTCACACCCACACCCCACAGCCTTCTATTTTCGAAAAGCCAGGAAGTGGACATTTTTTTTCTTCCTCACATTAATAACGATAACCTTTTGTTTGTGAATAGAAAGAGCAGACGAAAAAATTCGATTTAGCGTCTCGAGATAAACAAAGAGAAAGTGAAGTGATTCTAATTGGATTTTTTGCATTATCGGTGTAATGTCAAATGAAACAATTGTTTTGTTTAAATCTTGTATATCCAAACGTTAAATTCGCAATACTTTTTACTCTTTGACTCTATCGATCGAGCACTCATTACATTTATTTCGCTTTTAGATGACAGAAAGTGCTAGTGAACAGATGATGCCATTAAACATGAGTTTATATGATATTCGTAAAAATAATCAAATTAACAAATATTTCAAATTTCATAATAATATTACAACGATAAATCAAATGGGTTCTTATGGTATTACAGCATTACATGTTGTGAATATTTATGAATACAATGAAGCTGTTCAATTATTATTAACAAATAGTACATTAAAATCATTTGAAAATACTTCATATCAATTAACATCCTATGATGAATCTAAAATGAACGAAATAAAAAAATTATTTCTCAAAAATTCGAATTTATTTCATTCTCATGAAGAAATGCAACATTATGATTATATTGAATGATCATTAATTGGTAATAATTTAATAGAAAAACGTAAACAATTTCGTGAACAAATTGATTTATACAAAACTTATGATAATCAACATCCTTTAATAACTAAATTGTTAATTGAAATAATTGAATATTATTTAAATGACTATTTAATTCAGCAAGAACAATTTCCAGAAAAGGAAGGAAAAAAATTAGAATTTTTTTTCAAACAAGCTATTCAAGAACAAAATTATTTAAAATATTTTATTAAAGCTTATACATTAACAAATAATTTTTATCGTGTTCTTAATAAACATCTAGCATTGTATATATTAGACTATTTTGATACATCATCCTATTCATCTTCACCGACAAAATATCATTTAATTAATTGTTTAGTACATATTGTAACCTTATTAATTAATCATCCAGATATACATAAGTATAAATATAAAGGTATTGCTTATCGTGGTTTATTAATGACAAGAAATGATTTAGAACACTATACTGCTGGTACTCATATATTAAATCGATCATTTGTGTCAACATCAAAAAATCCTTCCGTTGCTAAAGTGTTTGCTGATAATAGAGAACAAAATATTTTACAACAAATATCAGATCATCATGATTTGGTACAAGTGTCTGTTTTATTAAAATATACAATTAAGCAAAATCAAACAGCTATTGATATTGAACACATATCAATGGTAGAAGATGAAAAAGAAGTATTAATATTACCATTTTCAGTATTTCAAATTAAAGATAGAATTGATAATAGTCCAAAACTGTGTCCACCAGTATTAGTTGAAATTGAATTAGAAGAATGCGAAGATGGTGAACAAATAAATAACAGAAAAGAGAGAAGTAAGTAACACCATTAAAAACAAATTATTCTCATTTTCATACAGCTCTTCACACTATAAAGAATACTGTGGTTTTTAGGAATAGTATTGATTCACATTCGATAATCGATTTTATTTGTGTTTGACATTTTTCACCCACAGGCTTCGCTCGCGGTGCGAAATATGGTGCTTGGTGTATAGCTTCCACGTCCCATTTAACCTGTTCTAATATCTTGAATACGATGAAGGAATGTAGTTAGCCTGCGTTAGAAGAACTCTCGCTTTTAATTATCTTGAATAAAACAACGTCCAAAAGCAAAATTCACCCCTTTGCGAAGCTCATCCTAAAATGTTTATAGCATCTCAAAAGATGGGAGTTTTTGGGCAACGTTCCAACGGATGTCTATCGACTCTCCAATTTATAGATCATTGCCTCACGAAGTGCGCAATTTCCATGTCGACAAATTCGCTCTAGCAAGAGTAATAATAAAAAGACGACGAGAAATGTACGAATCCAATGCTAGTGCACCGTATTAAAAAAGAAATGCATGAAGGACTACATAAATCTTGTGCTTCACACCACATTCATTATTTTTTAGTGTTTCCTTCTTATCAGTACAGGGAAAGATAAAATTTTCGAAGAGATATGTAAGGTGTATCTGAATTCTTTAGGTAAACTACTGACGACAAATCTCCAAAGTCAGACAAAGAAAAGAAAAAACATTACCACATCACAATGTTTGTGCATCAGTATTGCACCATTTATTATTTTAATTTTGATTATGGCTATAAGTTTTGTTATAATTACTAAAATACAAACTGAAGGAAAAACAACACTAGAAGGTACTACATAATACAATTTACGTATATTCCCTGACCAAAATACACTAAACACCTTATTTTTTCGATTACTTCTCTAAGCTATTGTTGTTTGGTATCGTATTTCTATCAGAAATACATGATTGATTACTCAATTTATGCTGAAAGTTTCAGCCTTATGGAATGAGAAATTGTCGAGAAAACTGCACATATTTCTTATGCATCCATGTGTCACTAAAACAAAAATTTGTTACTCTGTATATTTTTCTGTTACTTTATATTTCATTTAAGATCTTGAGTAGTTGATAGTTGCCTCTCGAGCATGACTTGTTCATGAAAATCTCTCGAGATGTTTCCATCAGCAAGCCACGCTTGAGAGGCAACTATCAACTACCTAAGATCTTAAATGAAATTTAAAGTAACAGAGAAATATACAGAACAACAAATTTTCGTTTTAGTGATACATGAGTACGTAAGAAATATTTGTAGTTTTCTCGACGAGTTCTCATTCTATAGGGTTGAAACTTTCAGCATAACTTTAGTAATCAATCATGTATTTGTGATGGAAATACGATGCCAAACAACAATGGTTTAGAGAAATAATCGAAAAAATAAGGTGTTTGGTATATTATAGCCAGGGAGATTTGTCAGACTGGATAAATATTGTTGTTTTAGGTTGGTTAAAAAGTAGCTGTTCAAACATTGTAAACCGATCTGTTTAGAAAGCTACTGAACCAAAAAGTAATTATACTAATTTATCAATACCTGTTTCTTATGTTGCTATACTTCATACAACTGGTAACGATTGTGAAAATCACGATTCTTGTATATCTAATAATACAACACTGGCAAAAATTTCATATGATTTCGAATGATTGGAATGATATTGGCTATAATTTTTTAGTAGGTGGTGATGGTCATATATATGAAGGTAGAGGATGGAAATATAAGGGTAGTCATTGTTACGGTTATAATGACAAAGCAATTGGTATGTACGTTTTGAAAATTCATAGAGAGGAATAGTTTAATTTTTTGTTTTTAAGGGATCGGTGTTATTGGTGATTATACTGTTATTCCACTGTCTAGACCTTTAATAACTGCTATTGATTCTTTAATTAATTGCGGTATTTCATCTGGTAGGATTGAAAAGAATTATACATATCTTAGGCATGGAGGTTATGGTATTCGTGAAAATTATATATTAAATCTAACTAAACCTCGTCATAGCATACACTATTGTTTACCAAAACCAAAGACTGTTTGATCCAAATGATTTGACTAATTTTTCATTATTTATTCATGAATAAAAAATAGTTTTCACTGATTGTCTTACGCATAGTTTCATGCTTGAAGTATTTTGTTTTCCAAAAAATGTTCAGCGAAAACCACACAGGAAGATGGTACTGAGCTCCTCAAACGACCAGAACTAACCGGAGAGTTTTGGTATGGATGAAAAAAAGAACAACACCCACACCCATTTATATCATTCGGTTTTGTTCGATCTGCTGTTGTACTTGATCATCCTGGAATAAATAATGCGATATATACATGTACAAAAAATAACTGAACAACAAAATGTAAGAGAATTACAAGAATTTTATCATATTTTTTGCTTATGGTTTATCTGTTGAACGTAGTTTAAATGTTCTTGACGATTTAATATTTGTTTTTCTATCAAAGATTTTTTTGATGATATAATTATAAAATGACGAATAAAATATTTTTTTAACTACAATAAGCCAAATTTCAAATAGATATGATAGAAAAGGTTCAATTTGAACCACAAGTTGATTATCTTCAAAAACTCTCGTTTCATCTATTGCTAATTGAGGTAAAACAGACATTAATGATCTAATATTACTTCATACACTCCGTCAAAATTCATTACGCCATGTGATATTCGTTGGTCGACGTAGGCTAATGCAAGTATTATTTAGTATAACATACGAAAATAAACTTGTTGTTTCATTATTTCATTACGATTATAATTCTAATAGAAGAGGTTCTCGAAATGATAAAAACACTGGATTTCTTATTGCTAAACAAAATCTTGAAAAAAAAGTTTTTTTCAAATAAATAGAATGCAATGACGATCTAAGATAAAAACTAGTTTTTCTGTTTTTTTAAACAAACTTACTCATTTATTTCTTCATTTGATGATCATAATCAATGTAAAATTGCGAAGTTTGAATAATCATAATAAATTCATACCTTGTACATCAAAAAGAGTTATTTGAATATCGTAGTTACTGAAACTACGGAAACAAGCATAAAAGCACTGATGTGATATAAATTTTATTTTCGAATATGTAACAAGCTTTTTCTGTTGATGATCAAAACTTTTGCACAATAACGTTTTTGATCTGTCGAAAATTAAAAAATAATTGACTAATGAAAATATACTCGAGTACTTTGTGTGTTCGCCTGCTTCGTGCTCACAGATGACCATGAGAGCTATAATAAACTTTTTTTCCTTCATTCTTTTCTTCCCATGTGCTGTTAAGACAGTGGAACATGTGACTCTCACCGGTAGGTCATTGCTCATATTATTGTTGACGACTAATTATAACTTGTACAACTAATGTGTAAAAAAATTAAACTTTATCCTCACATATATATTGAGCTATCTGTGATTGAATTTTTCATAATTTATGTGTTAAGATTATGAGGATGACCGTAACACCTCCTCTAATTTTTTTAATGTCTGACTTTTTTCCTATTTTAGATATTAAACGATGAGAAAAAAGATAACAGGGGATAAGTGCTTGTTTCCTTTTCTATACATAAATGTTTAATTTATTTTTTTTCTTTTCCGTTTAGCCAACAATGTCATCGCATCATGTCATCGTTCATCATGTTTTTTTTTCTTTTAAGTATGAGAATAGGATGAGACTAAGCAAAGTGAGTGTTACTAAGAGAGTAGGTTGAGTCATGTCCATTGGAATTAGGCTTCACTTATTTTAAAGACTTCCGCATAGTCCTTAAAAGCTCGATCAGGAACTGCGTTGGTGTCTGTGGCACACAATCGATCTTCCAAACTCATTGACACATGACATTGGATGAGTTCATGTGTACGACGTGGGTCTTCTCGTGCATACATGAACTTTAAGCTCACCACAGCTCCACTAGGATGGTTCCTGGTCGCACTCATGTGTGAATAGAATAAATATCAATTCTTTTTCATTCAATCATGATTTATTTTTAAGAGAAAAAGAACAAAAAAATAAAATTAATCATCGCACAAAGTTTATTCGATGTTATATTTTTGTACTCGATTATTTCCAAACTCGACGACATAGAGATTGCCATATCGATCGAATGATAAACCTACGGGACAATCGAATTGATTCGACTGAGCTCCTTTACCGTTTCCACCAGCAATGACACTTCCTTGTGTGGCTCCTTTTGGCCAACGCATGATTCGATGATTATGATAATCAGCAACATAGACAGTACCCAATTGATCAACAACAACTCCTTGAGGACCTGACAATTGTGTAAGACTATTTCCTTGTCCTTGGCCACCGGCTACGACAATGCCTTGTTTTGCATCTTCTTCCCATTTCATTACACGATGATTCCAACAATCAGACACATACACTGAATGATCTCGATCGATAAATACGTAGTGGGGATGGTAGAGTTGATCGGGACGGTTTCCTTTTCCGTTCCCACCTGCAATTACTGTTCCTTGAGTGTCACCACTTTTATATCGTCTCAGTTCATGTTTTCCATCGTCGACAACATAGAGAGATCCATTCTCATCTTTTGTCAAACCAACACAAGAGATGTTCGAAAGAATAGTTTCTCCACCAGTATCATTTTGACGAGACCATCGAACTACTCTTTGATTTCCGTAATCGCTGATGATGAGACTATCTCTGTCTTTGTCGACAATCACATCATCTGGGCGGTTTAACTGATGAGCTCCGTTTCCATTTTCATTTCCACCGGCAATCACATTGCCATTAGTTGCACCACATTTCCATTCCATGATACGATGATTTTCACAATCAGCAACATAAATTGTTTGATCATCATCAATGTACAAACTTCGTGGTTCTAAGAGTTGATTGATTCCACTGCCTCGTCCATTTCCTCCAGCTAGTGATTCCATTCTGTTTCCATTTTGCATTCGGATGAATATCAATCGAACTCGCACGTAATGGTACTAGAGTGAAACAAAAGTATGAAGTAGAAATAAACATTGATTTCATTGAAATGAGTCATTCATTAATTTTGAATAGTACTGAACTACTCTCAATTACGAAAAAAGATTAATATTTTTACATTTCGAAAATTTATACTTTTGGCTTGATTAGAATCTGAATTGATTAATTATCAAACATTTCTAAACTAGATTATTCTTTTTTTTTTCTCTTAGAATATTTTGACTTCTGGTCATCAAAGCATTTAGATTTGACCAAAAGCTCTGATAAAGCTGCTGACAATTTTATAAGACAATTAAGATTTAAGACTCTAGGTATTTGTAGAAAACGAGATCTGAATAATTTCTTTTGAGAATTGGGACGAATTGTTTTTTTTTCATAGTTCAACTTATTGTTTCAAAAATGATAAAGGTTTATACCTTCTGAAGTTTTTATATATTGAAATTGATGTCTCAAATTCGATTCCCATCGAACTTTGTGAAAAAGAGTTTTTACTTAAATGACCACAGTGAATTATTCGAATTATTCTCATCGAAATCAAGACTGTTGTTGATATTGTGTGAGGCAGTTTATAAAAAATGGAAATAAATTGAGCGCCAAAATTCTTAATTCCAGTGTATTTCTGTTCAGGAATTCTTATATAACTTTTCAGGTAAATGGACAGACAACCTAAGTGTATCGATTGCTTTGATATCTATTAATGAATTGATGAGGGAACTTCTTCAAATGAACAATCGCTTTCAAACTGGCTTTTGGCAATATTCATGTGCAGATGTGAGTTGTTCTTGCTCAATCACACGCAAGTCCACACCCACACTCTCCATGGTCTCGATGAAATTTGAACTATTTTCTTTTCGAATGATATAGTATTAATCTCGTTATCTGAGGAACCTATCATGTCGAATATATTTCATTATAGAAAAAACAACAGGAACATACATAAATAATTGAATCTATTATTTTAATTTCTTTTCAAAATTTTACAAATAAATGTTCAAGAAACTAAATAACACGCAGATTTGAAGTCCTTTTTTTCTCAAATGAATATGAGTTTCATATCAAATCAAAAAAATGATTTTTCTATTTTTAACTGTTATAACGCTTATTATTTTCTCTGTTTATTCTATTTTTCGTTCGATAATATAAAGAAAGAAACTGCTGAAAATTTTGGTTTGAAATTTATTGCATCACCATTATCTTAATTATCATGAGATCTATTTATGCATCTGAGATATAAAGATATATTGAACGTGAGATTGCTTTTTGTAATTCATATTTTTTTGAATCTTAAAAGGTTAGTAAATGATAAAAGGCTGGAGTGTGGATGTAGGTGTCCTCTCAAGAGGAATATAAAAAGTGGCCACAGATAGTTTTTTTACGTGCTTATTTAATTTGATTGAATAATATCCAGTTCGTAGAACTTTGTGCACATCCATTATAGGAGAATATACCTCAATGAAAAATTAAATGAAATTGAGAATAGTGAATTCAATGAAGTAAAATCTTGCTTTTTATTTGTTTTGAACTACTATTTCTTATCATGAGCATAAATTATAAGGGAAACGAAATCTTAGATCTTTGAATTGCTTCTTATGTTCTAATATGGACATCTTTCGAAGACTTGCCAGTGTGGCTGAATAGTTAAGATACTTGACATATACCCACAAGTACTGTGTTCGAACTTTGACTCCATCAGTCATAAATTGACCTCGGATAAATTACTAACGGCTGCTTTTTCTTGGATCACCTATTCGATAACAAACTGACTACGTGATTGAAATATACTAAAAGCTTTTGTGGTTAGTATTTGGTTAGTCAGTATGTACGGAGAACTTAAGTGATTAAGCGGGAGAACTTTGAGCCAGGACAGACTTTTGTTCAGAGCTACATTTAATAATAGATGTAGCAAAAATATGTGACTCTCGAAACTATTCTCGGACAGTGTCCTATACCACGAGATAGCTGAAAAGAGCAGTATTCTTCTTCTCTGAAGTTTAGTTGAACTGAATAGTATGTGCGTAGGTATGGATTGCCGTACATTGATGCTGAAATGCACACCTACTCCCACACTCATGTCTATATCGATAGTTATCCCCATCTTACCCTTCTTTTCTTTCAGAACCTAGGTTGAGAATACTCACAGTTTATTTGTTTTCCCTGGATTTCATGTTCATCTTGGATTGCTCGAATGTAAATTAGTCGACTCCAATCAATTTGATTATTTTCAACAATGATCCTTTGAGTTTTATCTTTTTGAATGAGTTTTTCAAGTTTTTGTGTAATTTTATCGAGTTCTTGTTTAAGCTGGTCTATATCATTCTCAACAAAAATTTCTTCTGCTAGACGTAAACGAATTTCTTTTGTAATTAATTGAAGTTGTTCTGTTATTTCTGATCGTTTCTTATCGATTAGCTTGATAAGTTCACAATGTGCCTTTTCTGCTGCTTTTTCAACTTTGTTGATTGTTGTTTTTTTCCATTGTTCAATTTGAGCGAAAAGGTTCAATGACAAATAATTTGATTTTTCTAATTTTTGTATTTGGTCAAGAAGTTCATCATGAGATCTAACTATTTCATCATCGAATTTAATGGCTAATTGTTTTTCATGTTCTCTGAAGTCCTTCGGGCAAAAGTATTTATTACATCCAAAGCAAAAGCGTATTCCTGGCAATTTATTGCAGATTGAACATAAGTTTGATTTATTTCCAGTTGCCATTTCTCTTAGAAGAAAATCAATCGAATTATGTTATTTATTATGCGAATATCTCGATCTAAAATGAATTTATATGAAGATTTATAAACAAATAATATGAATCGCTTTATAAAGGTAGAGAAACAAGATTATGTCAATCTTAAATGGGCTCCTAGGTTTACGACTTAATAATTACATTTGTTCTGTTCAAGTTCCATTACCTCAAATATTTCATAAATTCTTTAGGACAATGAATAAAATCTTTTGAAATAAAGCAGTCCATGTCGATAGTTCAGTGAATAAAGTATATTAATCGAGATTTAAATAATCCATAAAATATCACTCATACGAGACAATAAATCGAAAATACGCGAAAGTTTTCTGAAAAAGCTATTTATTTTGTCCGTTTTGATAGCAGAACAATTTTCTTAAAAGATTTCTCGTTGCTAACACTTGAGAATTTCTTTTATTCCGTTTGTTTATCTATTGCCTTACCTGGATGTATTACAGCTCATATATGCAAGACAAGGCAGCATTATATGTGTAGGATAGTAGAAGATTTCAAGTTCTACCAAAATTTACTAATATGTGGCAACGTTTATTCTTGTTTTAATTGCGAATGAAAAAAAAGCAGAAAAAGTAGCCAATTTTTACGCTTGCCTATCAAGAGTTTGTTTGCTTATATTCTAACAATTTTGTTTTCAGTAAATAAATGTAAGGCAATAATCAAACAAATGGCATGATGGAAAATTTTAAGCGTTATCACAATATGTAATTACTTTTTTCGGAAATTTTTAGTTTTCAAGTATCCTTTTATTTCTGTCATGAACACTGAACAAATCTCATGGAGCCTATGAAAACCCAAAATAAAAATGACAATAACCAATAGATTTTCATTGCTCATGTTTTGATCGGGAAAAACCTTTTCATACCCAACAATCAACTATTCTGAGACAGATGACAGGAGAAAGAAAAATTTTGTTTTCGTTCTGAAAATATTAATCCTCCCCCCCCCCCCCCCCCCCCCCCCCGACCCATGGCCCAGCGACCGCCCACACCCCCCCCGCCTCCGGCGGGCGTCAGGCGCGCGGGGGTGGCCAGACCGAAGGCTGTGGCCTGCGC